ATGAAACTCCCACTTGATGGTGTAGGAAGTTTTGATGACATGTTTCATGTGAGTTTCATTTGCATCAAATAGGTTGTCACATAGATATTTTTTATGACATGACAGTGTATTTAAGAAAAGAGAGAAGAAATGACTTTCATCTAGATGAAACTCTCTTGACACGATTACCAACTCTTTATGAGTCATAAAATTAAATGCCGACGAAACTTTAGAATGAAACTTTACATTGAGAAAGAGTGTTTCATCCATGTTTCATTTCACTCTGTACTGTGCCGCGCTCGCAGAAGATTTCGGGCCAGGCCATGTGGGCCGATCTGTCGGCCCGTTTCCACAAGTTAGGCGTCGATCTTGGGTCAGTTCAGAGGACGCGTGGCCGGGTGAAGAGCTGGAGACGTGGCACGATGGGACGCCAGATTTATTGGTCTTTAAAAAAATTGCGGGAATCATGGCTACCGATCGGTCGGCCGCGAGTACAAGCGAGCGCTGCCCACGCGTTCAAGCACGCGACGGCCCATGAGCTCGGTCCACGCGGTCACGCAAAACACCCGGTTCCCGACGTCGCAGGTTACAGGTATGTTAGTTTTCCTTTTCTTTTCTTTTTCTTTTCTTTTTCTTTTTCTTTTCTTTTCTTTTCTATGTGCTATTTTTATTTTTAATTTTTTTTATATTTTTTCTTTCCACTGTTACGTGATCTTTTTTTCCTTTTCGCCTTTTTTCTGTTTGCTTTTCCCTTTTGATATTCTTTTGAAATTTTATTCTTTTCATTTTCTTACCACTTTATATGTTCCTTTTTTCTTTAGATTTTTATTCTTATTTATATTTCTATATTTTTTCTAAACTTTATTTTTTATTTTCACTCATTTCTGTTCCTTTTCCTTTTCTTTTTTGTCTTATGTGGTATTTTATTCTTCTTTTCGACTAGTTTTTCTTTTTCTGTTCTATCCAGTTTTACTCTAATTAATTATTTTTCTTTATATCATTCTTATTTTCGAGTTTTTAGTCCTGTTTTATATAGACTTTTTTTATTTTCTATTTTTATTTATCTCTAATTTTTATTTTAATCATTTTCATGACTTACTTTTAATTTTTTATGGTTTTTATTTTATATATTAGATTGGATACATGTCATGTTTTCTCATTTGATTTTCGTTAATTTTTTTTCTTTCCTTATTTAAATTATTCATTTTTTCTATATATTTAGCATTTGTTATTCATGTTTTTATTTTGCATCTTTTCTTCCGTGTTATTTGACTCTAATTAATTACTTCACTAATTTTATTTTTTACATTTCATGATATGTGTGATGTTCACGTAGTATACATGTGATGTTCTATGCTATATTTTGTGATGTTCGCGAAAGCGAAATGTGATGTTCTACGATGTATTTATGATGTTAAGTAAGTATGATGTTCCATGGATATTTTTTGTGATGTTCGGTAGCATTTTTCTTCTTTTTATTTGACTCTAATTAATTATTTCACTAATTTTATTTTTTATTTTACATTTCATGATATATGTGATGCATACATATGTTGTTCTACGCTATATTTTGTGATGTTCCTGTAGTGTTAATGTAAGGTTCTATGATGTATTTGTGATGTTCGGTAGTATACATTGATCTTCTAGATATATTTTCTCGATGTTCGTAGCATTTTTCTTCTTTTTATTTGACTATAATTAATTACTTCACTAATTTTATTTTTTACTTTTTTATTCTTTACATTTTCATGATATATCTGATGTTCATGTAGTATACATATAATGTTTTATGCTATATTTCGTGATGTTCATGTAGTGTTAATATGATGTTCTACGACGTATTATGATATTTGGTAGTATACATGTGAATAGTTTTTTTTAAATATACCCAAGTGGGATCTTGATTTGAAAGATTTATAGTAAGGAACATAGTGGCGCAATCGAAATTTAACTTTGAAACTCTGTTTAGGAAATATAACTTTTTTAACTTTCAAACAATATGCACATTGATGATGTCAGCAAATTTTGTTTCACATGCATGCTTGTACTCTGTGTCCTCAAGGCCCAACAAAAAACTGGATTGGGCCTAATTTAGTTAAGCACATGAGCCAGACATTATTTTTCCTAGGGGAGGAGGGTTCAGGATTTACTTCTAGCCACCCGGTCGGTGGCTAGGCGTCCCATATACTTGCAGCTTCTGCAGATGCTTACATGCACTAATTTCTGACATATACAAATATTTGGATTGCCAAAACGGCGTGCCCGATGACTGGATTTACGAGGTGACGGCCGGATCGGCGTGGCCGGTGGCCAGATATCGACGCTGAGAAGGCCGAGGTGGGTTGCACTCTATTGGTGGTGGACAAGGTGACGCTTGTGGACACCACTCCCACGCTGGAGGCGTCGTTTTGCACCATCGGCCCACTGCATCTCCTCCGCTGAGAAGGTCGTGGCAGTTATCTCATGCCCGCACGACGGTGACGCCTCTGGTGCCATTCCCTCGCCGGAGGTGTTGTCATGTTCCATGCGGATCAAGCATGGCGGTGACCGAGATATCGGAGCTGAGAAGGCGACAGTGGGTTGCACGCCATTGGTGGTGGACTCCTTCTCCATCAGCCCACTGCATCTCCTCCGCTGAGAAGGCCGTGGCAGGCTTATCGGCGCCATACGACAAGGATGACACCTCTGGGCGCCATTCCCTCGCCGGAGGCGTCGTCATGCTCCCCGCCGTTCTACACCTTCTCCATCAAGACGCCAGCATTACGCACTCCGGCCGATGGGACTCAACAGTGGTGGCTTCTCCCACATCCCTACCTCCTAGATGGGCATGAGGTCCAAGTGGTCTTAGACGCTAGCGAACGCCTCGAGATGGGGAGAGTTGCTCCTACGATGCGTGCTATCTTTGCTAGATGGATGAAGCGTCTTGTAGACGTAAGAGGTGGAGAGTTGCTTCTACACAAGATCAAGACAGGTTGAAAGCAAGGACAATGAAGAAGCTCTGAAACTTAGTCTTTGTAGCTTTTTTAATCCTTAAGCTCTCTTTCTTGTTGTTTTGCCTCTCTATTTTGAGTCTTTGATCCTAAGAGCTCATGTAACTTTTGACTATGTATATCCCAAGCGGATATAAAGGCTGGATTTTATACCGTTTATCTAGAAAATCTAACACATCCTCGTTTGCCTCCCATTTTTTGTCGAATTTCCTCAGTAATCTTGACGATGATGAAGAATATCATCCTGTATATCACCGTCATTCCACAAAGGATAGCAAGGTTTACCCATTTCGAGTACCCCATCTCCACCTCCAACTTATACTTGAGGACTTGAATGCCACTGATGGTGACATTAGACTCAATGAGCTGATCACTTGGGAACGACAGTCCCATGAACTCATTCTTGTATAATCCTTGCACCGCATACTTGTGGAAGGAGATGTAGTAGCAGGGATACTTCCATACTGGCTTTGGGAGCTCACTTGGAAGGCGGAAGAAGCCGCCATTGAGCATCATCACCCCTTGAACTCCAGCTCCAATGATGATTCCCATTAGGAAGTCCGGAACAATAGCAGCGATAATCATCATAATGCTCTCCACTAGAATGGAACATATGCCAAGGACAATGACGAAATAGGTGAAGTGATCTATGCCTTTTGTTAGTCCAGTAAGGTAGTATAACATTGCGCCGGGTAATACAGCAATGACAGGTATGGAGTAGCTGAGAGGGTGTTTGAGATCACAAATTCTGAGACGCCGTAGTGGCCACTCAGCCTCTCCTTTCTGAAGACCTGACCCAAGGGTGAAAATGGTGGTATTAAAAATGTGCGCAGACTTGAGGTATTAACAATAACCAATGTGGCAATAAAAAACAGAACCTACTTTGCACTGTAACTAATTGGTATATATATAAAGGGCAAATATATAGCATTTCATATTGGAAAGTAGACCGCACTAGTTTATACATGATTGGTCGACTTGCTAGAATTTCTTATAATTTTGAGTAAAAATATCTTCCAACTAACTTTGTCATGTTTATTCTGAGACCTGATTGAGTCACCTTGCTAGAATTTCTTATAATTTTGAGTAAAAATATCTTCCAACTGCCTGACGATAATTTTGAATAAAATTTTCTTGAACAAGAAAGCCACTAGCTTTTCACTTTTGGGTGAGTGAAGAATTAACCTTAACGTCCTCTACGAAAGACGGAAATCCTCCAATGGCCATAAAAGTTAAAAGTGCTGTTGTATACATTATTACTTCACATCGATCCTGCAAAATCCAAGACATTATCACTTTTTCAGATAGAGTAAAATGACTATTTCTATATAGCCCTACCTTAATCAGTTTACCTGGATAGAAGTGTAGCTGTAGCTATAGCCAACTTGGTAGAAGATAGTGCCAAGACATGCGCCAGTGCCCATATAGACGGCCAAACGCATCCAGTAATATCCTATGTCCCTGAGCATATTCAACAACGATCTCCTTGTGAGCACAAGGAGCTTTGTGGTAAAACTTGCTTGTTCTCTCCTCCTAAATGAAGCGCCCTCCTACAAGAATATAGGACGTATTAGAGAGCAATAGAGAGTAGTACTAATTTCCAATGTTAATCAAAACATATCCTTAGATCGGTGGATTACATTCCTTATATATTGGTCTTCAATCGCGCGCTGCAGTACGTTTTTTTAGTTGATATTGGATAATACGGCTGTGTATATACCATATGCGGGTGGGGTGGCAGAGGCTAGAACTTTGTTCTCTTATTAAAAAAATGGATAATACGGCGACCTTACTGGTATTCAACTTACCATGTTTTTCATTTCAACAATGTGGTCCGTCGTTTTTTCAAAATAAATGGAGGATCTGTATGCAGTCGCAAGGATGTCTATTGCTTCAGCTGCTGTTTTCCTGTTAGCTTTAGAACTGTCCACAGTTTCCTATATAGGATATATGATGATATTAATTAGATAAATGAAAAGTGAAGTTGCACTGAATTTGTAACAATTCATAGGATCGAGTGCGTATATATACCTCATCAAAGTCTTTGTTGATTGTTCTCAGGAAGTGATCTGACGGGCTTCTCAGGTGTGGACATGGAAAGCCGTTCAGAGTGAAGAACTGCATGCATGCAAGGAACGAGCTAGCACAAGTCAGCAGGCAGCACCTAACAATCCCTTCGGCTAAGACGTCGAAGTAAGGTCGTCACCTCGGTGGCATCAGAGATGGTTCCAAAGAAGATCGCCTTCCCGGTGGCGAGCAGGCAGAGGCCGTGGAAGAGCTCGAAGACGTCGCCGCTGGGCTGGTGCACGGCGGCGACGACCGTCATGCCGTCGCGGGCGGCGACGCGCGCGATGTGGCTCATGACGTGGTAGGAGGCGGCGCTGTCGATGCCGCTGGTGGGCTCGTCGAGGAAGAGCAGGCGCGGCCGCGTGAGTATCTCGATGCAGATGCTGAGCCGCTTCCGCTGCCCGCCGCTGATGCCCTTGGTGATCCGGCCGCCGATGCGCGTGTCCATGGCGTCGGCGAGCCCCATCTCCCGGATCACCCGCTCCGCGTGCGACCGCTTCTCCGGCAACGGCATCGTGTCCGGCAGCTGCATCTGCGCCGAGTAGTACACGGCCTCGCGCACGGACAGCGTCGACATCAGCACGTTGTCTTGGGTCACGTATGCCTTTGTCGTATACATTAAAAAAGTTGTAAGTCCGGATTTAGGGCGTCTCCAATTCTCAGAATAGCTAGTCTATGAAAAAATTTATTGGCTATCAAGAAGAGAGATCAAATAGCTAACAATTTCAAAATAGTTAGTTTAACATGATCTTTCATAAACAACTCTCTCACATCTCACGTAACTCTCCACTGCAGTGTTTTTTTTTTTATTATTTCTACGCCTCATCTAACGAGCTATTTGCAAATTGTCATTCAGGACGGCCTTACACACACCGACACCAACGTTACGCAAAAAGATTGCAACCTGTATTTATAGAAAAACTTTTTTTTAGAGAAAGGAAAACTTGTTCCAGCTTGTGCAAAAGTCTTGCACCAACCATTCATAATTATATCACACTCCCTCCATTTCTGAATAAACTAATTCCTATAGTTGTACTAAGTTAATTTTTTTATATTTGACTAAATTTATAGAAAAAAGTATAAATATTTGTGACACCAAATAATGGGCTTATTATGAAAATACAGCTTATATTTATGGTGTATGTAACGATACTAACTTGGTATCATAAATCTTGATGCTCTCTTCTATAAATTCAGTTAACCTTTTTTTTAAAAAAATAACTTAAGAATGCTCTAAAAATTAATTTATTACTTAGGGATGAAGGGAAGAAAAGAGCTGTTTTTTTTTCTTTTGTCTTACCGAGGTTCCATAGGCAAGCTTCTCCTGCCGGCCATTGATTAAAATCAGCCCTGTTTTATTCATGTCTGATCCTAACCTTCCTGCAGGGAAACGGTAATAATGTCCAAGGTGGGTTACACACAGTAACCAAAATCCAAAGTTTGCAGTGCCTTGCATTTTTATTGATATGGTGCAATGCCAATATTATTTTTGATGAGGCGTTGAACAATATAAATAATGAAAAAAGGGATTCCTCTGTTGCCAACACGAATACCCCGCCATGCACGATTATGTTTCCTTTGAATGAAATAATATAATATAATAAAAATAAAAATGAAACAGCAAATTAGAAGGACTGTTCCGATCATCAAATCAAATTAAAACTAAGGTCCTGTTTGATAGATCTTCACCAGCTCCAGATTCACCAACCCAGTCTGGATCCAATTTTTTTTTAGCCAAATGCTTTTGGATCTAGTAACTCCACTATGGATCTGCCCCACCAAAATGGTAGATTTGTCCCAAATTCACCAAATGGGGGTCGGGCCGGCATGGCATGGCTGCCTCATCAGTTCGGGACATGCCCACCCATGTGTTGCATACGGCCCAGACACGACACTATAAGTCTCAGGCCGTACTGTGCTGGCCGAGCGTTGGCCAAGAGTCCAGAAAAGTTAGGGTTTCCTTTCTTTATATATGCGAAGCGATGGGTGGAATGGGCCTTTAGCCGGCCTGCATTAATCCGGCGTGCCGAGCCGGCACGCTGTGCTGAGGGAGCAGGCCAGGCCCTCTCGTCGGGCCAGATCGGCACAGGCATCATAGTCATCGAGCCGTGCCGTGGTCGTGGGCCTCGTGCCCTTCGGCCATCTATGGCGGCAACAGCGACGTGGCCGCCATGGCTACCGTACCTAGCGTCGTGCCGACTTCGAGCGAGGCTGCGTCGTCCTTCCCACGCACTCCGATCCTCGCCGGCCGCGCTCACCGCCCTGCAGTACTCCACTCCACTTGAGGCCTTGCTTTGCCCTAGAACGCCAGCAGCTAGCTCTGATTAATATAGGCAGGCGCGTCATGACGGATGGTGATCGAACATTACAAATTTGTAGCGGTGGGTCAAGTATGGAGTTATCCATTAAGAATTAGCCAAACCTCAAACTTTGTAATCAAGATTTGTTCCAATTGAGAACGCTACCGTAATACGTAAAACAGCTATGTCAAAAACTTACATTTTACGTGATAACTACAAATTTTACTAGTTTACTAACTACTGTCCAAAAACTCAGAAAAAAATATTTATGGGTGTAATTTGCTCCAATACATCGATGCCATTCTTTTATATACAAAATTTGCAGATGCACTGATGACGGTGGATGTAAGACACTATATCAATGGCGTAAAATCTTTGGTTGAAGAAGCCACCAAGCGGCACTGTCCAAGGCTGATGTGAAAGAAAAAGTCGGACCAAGGTGTGTGTCATAGAAAGTGATAGTGATCCAAACATCATGAAGAGGGTGAGCTCTGAAGAATACGTCAACGTCATGACAAATATAATTTTTTTAAGAAAGTTGGCAAGAGCTTTGCCGAAAACTACTAACTACCTAGGGGTCTAGATGAATGAATTCCTACAAGCGAGGAAGTTGTCTAATTTACTGAACCTCTCCCGGCATATATAATAATTGTTACTCCAGGTTGGTAAAAGAAACCATTTTGGACAGCGACATGATCACCAAGACATAACTTTGACTTCTTATTTTTATAAAAATATTTATTGTAAAATAATATAAAATTTTTCGTCACGGATCAACGAAAAAAACTTCACCAAGCAGCTTCTGTGATGATTTCAGATATCATCATAGATTGAGCATCATGGATTAACCTCCGTGACGTTTTGTCAATCTTAAATCGTCACGGTAGAGCCCGAGGCCTAGTTAGCCCAGCCCAAGTCAATTTCCTGTGACGAAAAATAAACGTCACGGATGAACCACCACATCATCATGGATGCTTACATGGATGATGACGAGACACTACCTCAGCCCATTTATTAACAGGCCAAAATCTAAGATGGGCCAATTTTTGGCCCAATTTTAATCATTTTCGCAGCTCTTTTTCAGCCATTTTGGCAGCCCAGTTATAGCCATCAATGTTTAGCACACCTTTCAGCCCACTACTACAGCACATGCGGCCCATATACACAGCCCATTTTCACACATACAGCCCATGTATATCCCATATACATAGCCCATAAACATAATAATTGTAGCAGCACATCAAATAAATAATCTTATGTTTCCATCCAACGTATCACAAAAACTTTCATCCAACGTCAGATTACATAAGTTTCCATCCAACATCCCATTCAACCTTGCAGTTTACAACAAATAGAGATTCTGAAAATACATACAACTCCAACATCTTAATCCATGCCGCAGTGGCAAAATGCATGCATGCAGCAGCAGCAGCGGCAATAAAATGCAAGCAGCAGCAGGAACAAAATGCAAGCACCAGCAGCGACAAAATGCAACCAGTAGCAGCGGCAAAAGATGCACATCTTAAATACAACCGAAGTCTCACATCCTAGGTCCATACTATTCAAACGCTCACCAAAGTCAAACAAAAAACTAGACTTTACCAAATCTGACAACCTTTATGGTGTTATTACCTGCACACGCAAGTTAGAAATAAGAGGTTAGCACATGTCTCACAAAGATTTTAATAAGCAGATCGCTAGAAAACATACTTAGACTATCATGGTACATGTAACATTCACTGCCAAAAGCCAAGTCATCACAAAGTACAAACGTACATACAGTTACAAATGTATCCAAGACATGAAATACCCACTCTCACAAGACACCATTACCCATCAGCTCTACTCTATATATGTTACAGCAACTTATTCTGAACTGAAATAAGGGAAACATGAAACAGTAAACAGTACCTGTGGCTAAGTGAACTCCAACAAAATTCCATTATTACGTGCTATCAGACTATATAATGTGGGGCCAATTCAATCAGAAAAATCTCATGTGCACAGATAACAGTATAGAGATGAGAAATACACGCCTATCTCCAGTTAGAGTGGGTTTTTTTACACAATGTATCAAAGACAAGTTCTGTAATGTTTACTATAGCATAGAAACATAAACTTATTAAATTTTGAAACTAATGAGAAATACATAGGTATCACCAGACATGAAAAGGGGTCAGGTTGTCAAGATCTATCTGTCATTTCGCCTTAAACACTAGAGCAAGTATCTATCTAATGCATAACTAGGAATCAAAAGCAGATAACTATCATCATAAATCAAAGGAAAAAAAGCAGGCATTGACGTCTGTAATATGCAAAAAAGAAAATGGACAGGCTCTTGACATTCATCGACTCCAGAAGTACACTGCAGTGCACCAATTAGCTACTACACCAAACAAGAACAACAGGAAGTTGAAGAATAAATTACTAAGCAAATGGCTTTGCAGGCTTCCGAACGGCATGTAATCTTACACCAGCAGGCTCTCATCTTGACCGAGCTGCTTCACTGCAACCATCTGCACACCAAAAAGGAAAACGCAAAGGGCGCTGTCACAGTACTGTTAAAGAAAGTAAACCCACGAAAAGCTCAGACAAACAGCCTGGAGCAGCCCTCCGTTGCCCGCTGCGCTCTGCACTTCGTTGCCGAGCTCGTCGCTGCCGAGCAGATAATTGAAATAATCAGCATCGCCTTATGCCATGTCAGCTTCAGCCTCAGTCTCCGCGTGCCCGTGCTGCTTTAGGCCTCCGCAGTAGTGCCTCCCGTGAACAGCGCGCGTGCTCGCGTGTCTCCCTGCGGCACCCTCGACGCCATCGGTGAGGTAGAGGGAGGAGGCGAGATCCGCCCTGACCATGGTCGGTGCGGGAGATGGAAGCGAGATTCGCTCTCGACACCATCGGTGAGGGAGAGGGAGGTGGGATCCACCCTCGATGCCGTTGTTGAGGGAGAGGGAGGCGGGATCAGCCCCTGACGCCGTCGGTGAGGTAGAGGGATGCGAGATCCATCCTGGGCGCCGTCGGTGAGGGGCGAGGAGACGAGATCCGCCCTCCAGCACCGTCGGTGAGGGAGAGGGAGGAGAGATCTGCCTGGCCGTCTCAGCCTCCGCGCGCGCTGGGCAACTCGACCACGCAGCCCTTAGTCTCCGTGTTGGTGCCGCCGGATGTTGAAGGAGAGGCTAGAGTGGTGAGGAATGGAGGGAGGGAGAGGTGGGCGGTGAGAACAAAAGGGTGACTGCGGCGGCGGCGGCGGTAGGCACCGAGAGAATGGGGCTAGGGTTTCCCACCCTCATGCTGATAGTGGGCTGAAGATGGGCCGGCCGAGAGAATGATACAATTGACATGTTTATAAATTATAAATTGTTAATTTAATTTCGATAACAAATATTTTCTTTGAATAATTCCAAACTATTTATTAAAGATTGGAATATTTTAAAATTCACTAAAATCATAATCTTTATTTATGAGATATTTTTTAAATATATTACATACGGAACGACAATGATTTATTTAGCACAAGAGTTTTTGTCATTTTACATTGAACAAAAGTTTTGCAAGCCGATGCTTCCTTTATAAGTGTTATGATCTATGGAGAAGACTAAGCGTGATTTCGAATGACCCCTTGATCAAACATCCATCTAGCTATTCCTCACCTGCATCAAATCAACGAAATGCAATAGAATACATCTTTTTATTGTAAACTAAGACACGTGCCTATTTTTGGATGTCTTCACTAGTACAGCCACGATTTATCTGGTGATGGCTATTTTAACACTGACGGTTCCTAACGAGCAGGCACCACTATTGTAAAATCTATGGACCCAGGCTAAAATCGCCTGATTTACAAAGTAGATGGCCATTTCAAGAACTACTACAACTCTTGAATCTCCACGACTGCGTGCATTTCGACGTCAGATCGCCTCAAACTTTTTCTCAAGCTTGTGCATGCCACAGGACGAGGAAACGCTAAGTTTCAGGTTTTTCGGAGGTGTTTTGCTATTTTCTACAATTTAAATAAATTTCGCGCCACGGAACGCCGTAATTGAAGGTTGAACTGAGGCTTCCCTAGAAACCATCCGAAACGGT